TTCAGGAGCAAGCTCGAACTGAGAGATACCAAACGGTTAAGTCTCTCATTGAGTGCAAGCTACCAATAGATGGTCCAGTTAGCCCGCATGTCATTAAGATGATGGGTTATATTGATAACTTGGCTAAGCTGGATTGTCCTATCAGCCAAGAGTTGGCGACTGATCTCATCCTACAGTCATTGCTGTCAAGCTATGATCAGTTTGTTATGAACTACAACATGAACAACTTGACAAATACTTTGACTGAGCTGCATGGGATGCTTAAAACAGCTGAACCTAACATCAAGAAGGATACCCCAAATGTTCTTATGGTACAAGGGGGTAACAAGTTTAAGAAACAAGGTAAGAACAAAGGAAAGGGTAAGCCAGGCTGGAATGCGAATCCAAGCAAGCTTGATCCTTCTCCTAAGTTTAAGCCTGGTCCTTCTAATGTTGATAAGTGTCATTATTGTAATGGTTCTGGACATTGGAAAAGAAACTGTGAGAAATATTTGGAAGATCTGAAAAAGAAGAAGATTTCTGAAACGTCATCTTCAGGTATTTATGTTATAAAAGTAAATGTTACTATTTCTGATTCTATTTCTTTGGTATTTGATACCAGTTGTGGTACTCATATTTGTGGAAATATGCAGGGCCTAAAGAACAATAGAGTCTTAGAGAAAGGACAAGTGGACCTTCGCATGGAAAATGAAGCAAGAGTTGCTCCATTAGCTGTAGGAATATTTCATTTGTTTTTGTCTTCTTGCATGGTTTTGAAAACTAAGAATTGCTACTATGTACCTGCTATAAGCAGAATATTATTCAATTGTTTGGATTTAGAAGGATTACATATTTTTGATTAAAAGACAAGTGTTGTTTATTTGATCATTGTGATTTCTTTTATAGTAGAGGTCTATTAAAGAATGGACTTTATATTCTAAGTCAAAGCGTGCATGTTTATAACATCAATACCAAAAGGTTCAAGTCTTATGACTCAAATCAAGTTTTTATTTAGCATTGTCGTTTGGACCACTAAATGAGAAGCACATCAAAACTTTCATGGTGATGGAATTTTGAGCTCATTTGATTATGAATCATTTGATAAATGTGAATCTTGATTATTGGATAAAATGACTAAGGCTTTTCTTACTGGACATAGTAAAAGAGATAAAAGACTTGTTGGAACTTATACATACTGATGTATGTGGACCAATGAGTATAAATGTTAAAGGAAACTATCAGTACTTTATGGTTACGTTTATCTAGAAACATAAGTCTGAATCTTTTGAAAAGTTCAAAGATTTTCAGAATAAAGTACAAAATAANAGAAACATAAGTCTGAATCTTTTGAAAAGTTCAAAGATTTTCAGAATAAAGTACAAAATAAACTTGATAAGAAAACTAAAGCTCTTCGATCCGATCGAGTAGGAAAATGTTTGAGTCAAAGCGCTTAATGATCATCTGAGAAATTGTGAAATTGTTTCACAACTTACTCTTTTGGGAACACTGCAGTTGAATGGTGTATTTAAAGGAGAAACCGAACTTTATTAGATATGGTTTGGTCAATGATGAGTCATGTAGATCTTCCATTATCTTTCTGGGGATACTCAATAGAAACATCTGCGTTTACACTAATTAAGTAGATGTCCATCAGAATCAGTTGAGAAGGCACATATGAGATGTGACTTGGAAATGTTCCAAATTTGTCTTTTCTTATAATTTGGGATTCTGATGTGTGTATCAAACAAACATATGTTTACTGATAAGCTTGGATCCAAAATCTGATGAGTGCTGCTTTATTGGTTGTCCTAAAGAAACCAATAGTTTTTACTTTTACAGTCCCACTGAGAACAAAGTGTTTGTTATTCATAGTGATGATCTCTAGAAGGATAATTTCTTTCTAAGAAAAACAGTGGGAGTAAAGTAAAGCTCGAAGAAGTTCGAGAAACGTAGAAATTTATTTTTGGAATAAGAATCTATAGAGATAGATTAAATAAGACCATTGGATTATGTCAAGACACTTTTGTAGACTATCCTCGAGTATTTCAGAAATACTAAGAATAAGTTTAATTTGTGGAGGAAGTGATGAACTTGTTGAACGGTGAGTTGGAAAATTCCAAGCAAGGTACCCTAACAGAGTCTCATCGGATGCAAAAGTTGTTCATTGATTGATCAAAGCCTCTTCTACGGCATAAGCATGAAAGTCATATTGTAGCCGTAGGCATTAAGGTATCTTAAGATGTGATCTTAATCTTAGTGGGAGGTTTTACGTTCATGATATGATGTTCACATTGACATACATTTGGTTATGTATTCAAATCTTATGAAATTGTTTCAGATTTATTTTATTATTTGATAATTAAAATAAATGTCCCAAAATAATTTACATCATCTTTATAGGTCATCAAGTACGTGACTTGATCATGAAACCTTATAAGTGAAAGATGGTATAAATTATTGAGGTCCCTAGTCAAGGTTGTTAACGTGGGACATTAAAACCGCGAATGGCTAGTATGTGAGGTGATTGATGACTAAAATTCATGAAGTCATTCAATATGTGGTATTGAAGTCAATCACATGGATATTTGTTAGAGAACACATGATCGGACTGACCCGCTAATGAGAACTCTACAAGATTGTTATATGAGTGTCATGAGAGGTTCTCACTACGACTATAGAGTATAGTCCTTAGACCTGAGTTCGTCAAGATTCTTTACTTGTGGATTAGTTCACTTTGACCTTGTCAAACGTCAGCCGTAACTGGTGATTATAAAGGCATTGATTAGGTGTGCTATGAAATTTGTAAGGAACAGGGATGGAACAAGATGGGATTTGTCCCTCCCATATAACGGGAGATAAATATCTCTGGGCCTATCGAAGATTTGATACTGAGAAATGCATGGCCGTGCTCAAACGAGGTGAATGTCAGTCGTTTGTTTTATCAGTGTAAATCAGAGTTCGATAAACATGATCTAGCTTAATAAGGATGACACTAGTTCTTGCCCTATGCTAAGATCGAGATATAGAGACAAAAGGATTATAAGAATAGATGATTCTAGTACAAGTGGGAGATTGTTGGGAATGTCCTAAAATCATTTGTACTCTCTTGTTAAAGTCGTAATGTCGAGGTTCGACAATCGTATAAAATTAGGTGGTTATAATGTTTTGCTAGAAACCGCTTATAATCTATGGATTGAGAATCTATTACTAATTTATATGATCCTATAGGGTCACACACCTAAGCAAACTGGATTAATAATATATTTGGGTTTTATATGAGCACTGATGTATAGATATATAATTTATATGTGATATAAATATATATATATATATATATATATATATATATATATAATTACGTGAGAAACAATCTTTTTGGAAGAGATTACACATTTGTTAATGGGCTGGTCCATTAAATGTAATCACGTGAGATTAGGGCACATGCACTTAATTATATATAGTTACTATAACGCTTCAGAAGTCGTTAAGTGTGTGTCGGCCGTGTATACCAAAACCCTAAGAGTGACAAAAGAGTTTGTCAAGTTTGGAGATTTGATCTCGACGGTACTAGCATCCCGTTCCAATCCAGTTTGTGTGCGTGTGGATACCAGTAGAGGCACGACGCTTGGAGTGCTAATAATCTCGACTTGATTTATCTATTTTCCGCTGCAAAATAACCAGGTATATTCGAAGAACCTAAAGATCTAGATTTATTTCAGTATTAACATGAGAATCTAGGAAAATAGAATTCATAGGTTGTTTTATAAATCGTTATAAACCGGGATGAATTACTACAACACTCACCGTTGCTCCGGTCACCGTCGACGGTACGTTCATCTTTCACAGCTTAAACTTAATCTCCGACGATGTCTCTCACGAGAAACAAGATCTCGAAGCCGGAGAGAAAGAAGAGAAACAGAGGAGTAAACTATTCCGGTCAAGTCCTCGAACCGTTTTAACCCGAATCAATCCGGGTCTAGCCTTAACCATGATCTCTCTCTATTTCCTCAGTCTCTGCTCTTTCTTCTTCTTCGGTTTGTTCTCCCAAACCGATGAGTTTCTCACCTCCGAGAATCTCCTCCTCGCTTTGATCTTTGTCGCCGTCGCTCTCTTCCTCGCCGCCAAGAACATAACACTTCTCAACCAAACGATANTTTAACCCGAATCAATCCGGGTCTAGCCTTAACCATGATCTCTCTCTATTTCCTCAGTCTCTGCTCTTTCTTCTTCTTCGGTTTGTTCTCCCAAACCGATGAGTTTCTCACCTCCGAGAATCTCCTCCTCGCTTTGATCTTTGTCGCCGTCGCTCTCTTCCTCGCCGCCAAGAACATAACACTTCTCAACCAAACGATACAGGCAATCACCAACGCCTTTCAGAGCAAGAACCGGTCAAAACCGGTTCAATGGTACATCGGCAATACAGAAACCAAACCGGATAAGAAAACCAAACGGTTCGTTAAAGAAGGTGTCCAATTCTACAGCAATGGAGATCTCTACGAAGGGGAGTTTCACAAAGGGAAGTGTAACGGGAGTGGTGTGTATTACTACTTCGTGAGGGGAAGGTACGAAGGTGATTGGGTCGATGGGAGATACGATGATCATGGGATCGAGAGTTGGGCTAGAGGAAGTAGATATAAAGGTCAGTATAGGCATGGTCTTAGACATGGTTATGGAGTTTATAGATTCTATACCGGTGATTGCTATGCTGGTGAATGGTTAAATGGTCAGAGCCATGGGTTTAGTGTTCAGTCTTGTGCTGATGGGAGTTCGTATGTTGGAGAATCAAGATTTGGTTTCAAACATGGGCTTGGATCTTACCATTTCAGGTAAATAAAATCATTATGGGTTGTTTTGTTGATTTTTAACTTTAATTGCTGAAATCATTAGTAAAAAGTAAAAACACAGTAATTTTTTGTTTATTATTTGTAGAAATGCAGATACAATTATTTTGTGATTTTAATTATAATTGTTGAAAATCTGATTATTAAATATATAAATTTTTATTTGTTTTATGTTTGTAGAAATGGAGATTGTTACGCGGGAGAGTACTTTGGAGACAAGGTACATGGGTTTGGTGTGTACCGTTTTGCTAATGGTCATTGTTATGAAGGAGCGTGGCATGAAGGTCGTAAGCAAGGGTATGGTGCTTACTCGTTTAGAACTGGTGATGGTAAGTCTGGTGAATGGGATTCAGGGAATCTTGTAACATCTCTTCATCATACGAGCGAGCAGGTACGTAGAGCGGTTCAGGCTGCTAGAGAAACGGCGAAGAAGGCGGCAGAGAGTCGGAGACGAGTAGATGAACAAGTTAGTCGAGCTGTTGGTGCAGCTAATAAGGCTGCAACGGCTGCAAGAGTGGCTGCGGTTAAAGCGGTTCAAAATCAGATGGATGATAAATTTTGTCAAAGTTAAAACAGAAAGTGTAAATATTTTTGTTTATTACCGGTTTACTATGTAACCCTGATTGAAGCTAAAAGAATAGAAGCTTGTTTCAGAGGTTTTTTTAGCAAAGTAATTTTCAATCTTTTTTTTTTACTTTTTTGTAACAGTTTGTAAATAGAAGAAAAATGCAAGAAGCTTGTCCTTTTTTTTTTTGTAAATCAACTGCTTGATTGATGATGGAGCTTTTTTTCTTCTTTGTTTTTTGATCGAATCTTTGGACATAAGTGGTGTTAGGTTGATATTATGATCTTGATTTGGATCACTGACATGTCGATTTTTTATTTTTCTTGTTTAGATATTACACAATTAGTGGCAATTGTTTACTCTGTTATTACAAAATTTGGTTGCCCAAGAAAATAAAAGGAAAATGGGAGAAGGATGAAGAAGAAGATCTTGTTCGGCGCTCAGCTTGCGATTCCCCAAAACATGTTGACTAAACTAATGATCCAATGGCATGATCCAGAAAACATCAATTGCATTGGTACCATACTACCAGAATATATTTATGGTCTCGGCTCCTTGTATCCGACAATGCAATAATTCTAGTTTATGTTTTGTTTTCTGCCTTTTTAAAATATTACTTATATGAATTCTTATTCATTTCAATAACGTCAGCACTTGGCAGTTTAATTTTGCTCCAAATATTCGACTTTGTATCAGTCTCCAAAATATATTGTACTACAAAATACGTTGGAAGAACTTCATGTATTAACATATTGACTTTGAGATGCGTGCGGCGTCAATATCAATGGTTGACTACTAAGAAAGGCAAATTTGAAATTGTTTTCTTTTTTGTTAATTTGAAATTTGAATTCAAATGGGTACTGAGTATATCACTATGGATATAGATAAGAATTTCAAACTACTTAATCAATCACAGAAATAGACATGTTAAGTAATTACAAAGCAAAAAAATAGTTTGATTATGTCAAGTCGACAATAGCTTATCAGATAACATACATCAAAGAATACTCCAAGTAAAGTTTAGAATATAACAACATATTAATTTCTAATTTAGCTACCTAGGATTATTTTGCCTAGTTCACAACGAACGCTATTTTGAACCATTTCCCAAAATATTAACATAATTGATGATAAGGTGTTTTGTTTATTTATGCCTAGTTATAAATGACTAGACTATTCATCAACAAAATATGATAAAAATTACATAATAGATTATTCATGTTCTCTGAAAAAAAAAATTATTCACGTCCATACATTTTTAGCACCTGATTTTGAAAGCGACCAAAAAAAGAAAACAGAAATCTGTTTAAATATATGATACTAATAGAATTTTTCTTATTCAGTGGTTAGAAAATCAATCTTATTCAATACGTCAAGAGATAGATAACCCTGTCAAAAATTTGTACTAGTTCGTGTCTAGACTCAACTAGATTTTTCCTACTTGTACTTATCCTAATACTAGTTTCTGGTGGCAGATGATATGCTTATTAATTCATTGCCAATTTCAGTATCAGGATAACTATTAGTAGTAGGAAATCTAGTATTGCAAATTAAAGATACGAACTAATACAACATTTTGAAAGGTGTATTAATAACCTTATCCAGTCGATTATATTGACTTTCCTAGGTTCTATATATTATCTTAAGCATGACTATAATTATTTATTCTGTTGTAAAACTTTTTTGTTTGTTTATGTATATATAACTATTTTTTTCAGACAATACTTCAGAAACACTGTATATTTCATCGAAAATAATTATTTCATTACAAGTGCTGCTATTTGCTAGTAGTATAATTATTTAAACACTGTATATTTCGTGATTCGAATACTGAAACTCTGATATTGCATAGTAGTCCACTAAAACGCGAATGCCAGGCTCAGATCCTTGCAGGTGTTCACAATCGTAAGATTAAATTGTTAATTTGTTATCCAATTTATAAAGGATTTTACCGAAAGACCTAACCGAAGCCGTTAAGATTAACGTGTGAGTATTTTTATGCTCAATGCAATTCGTAAGTATCTTTATGTTCAATGCAATTCGTAAGCTAACTCTAACAACATTGAGGAAAGATTTGATGAACCTACTTCTAATAATTTATCTTTAACTAAGAAGTTCAAAAGATAGATTTTTTGGGGGGTAAAAAAAGATAGCACTTTTTAAGTATAACAGTTTTTAAGTAAACTGAAAGTTTCAAGCACGGAAGCAATGATCCCTCTTAGCAAAAAAAAAGAAAGAAGCAATGATCCGAAGAGTATGTAATCTTACAAATGCTTACACACATACTCAGTCCTTTCTGAATTTAAGTCTCTTGGCTTGGTAAGTGAATTTTGGCTTTGTCCAAACAAAAGAAAATAACTATATAGGCTTTCACTTTTTTTTAATCACCTATAGGCTGCTTTCACAGATTACTATTTGTAAACAAAAATAAATAAATAAACTATAAAATAACATGGTTCTATTTTTAAACAATGTTTCTGGTCTTCAAATATTCGTAAAATGTCCATGTACGCTGCAGCCCACATTACGATGATTATTGAGCAGGAGACAAGTCATGCGGCTTCATTGTCCAATCCTAGTAAGTAGTAACAGTTTAGATGTCCCTGTGACACTGTACAATTCCATGTTGAAACATATAAATGTCAAATTAAATCTCGTTATGATTTTAATAAAAAATTATTAATTTTATATATTATTTTATTTTTTATTGATTGAAGTATAATTAAGTTTATAGATAATAATATTTTATTTTTAAAATATGCAAAATTAAATATTTTCTTAACTTATGTGAACAAACTTAAAATGAAAGAACTATAAAATAATAACCTCAATTATATCACAGTCAGTTATCATATCCATCGTCAATTCTCTCCAAGCAACAAAGAACTTGAAAATGTATAACTACACAAAGGATAAACTAACTAACATATTAAAAGAACTTTTAAATGATAAAAATATATAAAGTATGGACCGTCGGATCAACTGAAACTCCAAAGCGGAATATCAGCATCTTCGTATAAGTACTCATCGACTATATTCATCGTCGAATTCAGTTGAAGATAGTAATCAAACGAAGTTCCATCATCGAAGAAGAACATCCCATTATCTTCAGCATCATACCATGATGCTGGATCCGTCAAAGACACATGACTGTCCACGAAAGACCCTATCAAAGATTGCATCACATCATCATTATTATCATCGTGATGCTGATCATGATCGGACGGTGATGAGCCGGCTGATGAAGAACAAGGGGCAAAAAGGTCAAATGAGTTGTTGGCAGCTTGAGCGGCAATTCTTTGGATAGATTTGGGGGACAAAACGGTCTTTTCGTCTAATAGAAGCAGAGAAGAAGAATAACAAGAAGTAGGGAAGTTGAGATTGGCTTGAGGGCCTTTGAGACACAAGAGTGCAACATCGTAAGCCCTAGCTGCTTCCTCGGCTGTTGAGTAAGATCCAAGCCAAATTCTTGTCTTTTGGTTTGGTGCTCTAATCTCAGACACCCATGATCCCCAACTTCTAATCCTCACTCCTTTGTACTTGTTCTTCTTGCTCTTGCTCTTACACAAAGACGAAGATGCAGATGCAGAATGAGATGGTGAAGTCAAAGACGTTTCCTTCTTGGTGCTGGTTTGGATCTTTGGTTCTTGTTTCACCATGGTATAATGTTGTTGCTGGAGGTTACTTAGACTGGTTGGACAACGATGTATTGATCAAATGATGAAGAAATTGTTCTTGAGTTTTGTGTTGTTATGTTTATGTATAGAGCTTTTTGAATGAGTGTTAACGTGAGGTGATGATATTTATATATACTATATAGAGATGGTCTGGGAGACGAAGAATGAATATTATTTATAGACATAAATCGAAAAATAGGTTCAAAAGTAATATGGTACGGTACGGTTTCATGCATATGAATGTGACAGTGTTGTGCATGACAGGTGTTTTGCTTCTATTTTTTTATCATAGCAAATTGTATATTATCATTAATACACTATCGTTCCTTTCTCATTTAAAAATAAGAATTTGTAAGGAATAGTTGATTAGGAGCGAATGATCCGTACGGAAGACAGAGCGTATAAAGATTAATAGCCGTACGGAAAATGAGGGATGATTCTGACATACAAAACTAATTTTTAATACTACTTAGCTATCATCACTGTCAGGAGATTACACATTACAGCTACGTTTAACGCGTTAAGTCATATACAATATTTCCAAGAAAGAGACCCCCTTTGCTCTTTGTTTTATTCTCTACCGTAAACTATATATGTTGGATTTAATCTTTAGTTATGCTCCCTAACTACCGTATCACGTAAAAACTGACGGTTTAATCTCCCAACGTTGTACATAAATGTTATTTCTTGCAGTAACTTTATCCATATTATAGTATTAGTTTCACTCAATTATTTCACCAGATGGATACGACCTTGGCCATGCTTTTGATGATTTGGTCTTAGAAAATGTTTATTGGATGTTCTTAAGACGTAGTTTTTAATTTATGATTTGATATTTTTTTAATTTTTTTGTCAAAAAACTGACTCTTAATAAGAGTTTCAAGAAATGGTTGTTGATTTTTCTTAGTTAAAATTAAGAGACAAATTTTATATTATACTAAGAGCATCTTTAACGGTAACTCTTATAAATACTTCTTAAAATTTTTTTTAAAGTAAACGAATCTCACCATATTATTAAAAACTGTCTCTTGTGGCTCTTCTGTAAAGGGGATCACTTATGTTGTTGTTACATTATTTACGGATTCCAATGACACGTACCAATACATGAATGGTTTACTTTATTTTTCTAAGTCTAAAAAATTAGGGGTTTTTGCCAAAACTAACCCACAACTTGGTTTTAACCCCAATACTAGACCCCAACTTGAATCAAATGCAAATCTAACCTAAAAGGGCTATGAAATTACAATATAGTCCTCTGTGACCAAACAAAAAAACAGAAGACATTTTTACGAATATAACCCTAGTAAGTTGTCTGAGTTGGGCTGAGTT